CTAGCTTTCAATGTTTAGGTCTTTTTAAAACAGGAAGTACTTAGTTTTGTTAGTTTTTAAAAACAAATTTTATTTAATTTTTTACATTATATGTAATATAATAATCAAATACTCAGATTTTGCATTTTCAGTGTATATCATGCATTACTGATATTCCTGTATTCAGATCTAAATATACAGGAATGATATAAACATAAAACTGTTTTGATGGTTTCAATTTTCATTTTTTTAGTAATCACAAAGAAAATTAGAAACTGAAAACTATTTTCAAATTTCATGGCCAAGATTTGTGAGGTTAAGATATTAAAGCAACAATGGATTATTAGATAATAATTGTCTGCTTAAAATCAGTTGAGTGGCAGCCAAGTGTTGAAAAACAGGAAGTTCCCATGAATGCAGAGCTCAAGAACTGTCTCAATACCACCAAAGGCACTTCAGCGAGTTCCTCATGACAAAAAACGTCTTCATGTGACCACAAGTTCTTGCACATAGATGGCAAAGAGTACTTTGAGCTTCTACAGATTTTAAATAATTATTGATAGTTTTGGACATTCTTCTGATGAACCATGACTCTAGTATCAGAGGGCTACCAAGGAAGGACATTTATTCTGTCTTTCTGGCTGAACAAAAATAGAAGATCTCAGTGTGAAAGTCAATATAGCAAAGCCCATCATTTGAAACTCTGTGGGTGTTTCACTCTATTGGTCCATGTGGTTTAACCTGTGTAGACTGTGAACTGAAGATGTGGCTACTAAGCACTATGCCTCTTGTCTACCACCTCCCATCCACTTTGAATTATTTATTTCTGAGCTAAATATTATGTATTCCATGGCCGAGTGTCCTATTCAGATTCATTTCCAGTTTTATTCTCCTTTTCTTTTTCATGTCTGTACTTTTAGAAAAATCCCTGTCATTGCTTTTGCTATAATGGCAGGGGAAAAGGGTGTGTGTGTGGGTGTGTGTGTGGGTGTGGGGGTGTGTGGGGGTGCACACCAGCCAACACACCAGAACACA